TTATGGAATTCTCCATCCCAGGGGCTTGTAAATGCTTCATCATTGAATATATTTCAGACTGATATGGGCAGACTCTCAGGAAAAGGGATGGATATGAGGAGTTAGCAGGAAGTTGGAATTGAAGCTCAAAGTCAGTCACGATTGTATTAACAGGCAGAGCCATACAATGGGTCATATTGTTTGCTACTGTTTATTTAGTGTTTTTATAACATCAGCAATATTTCTCAATGTTTGTATAATAACATGCTTCGTTCTGATTCAGATTGATCAGTGGAGCCCTCGGTTTAAAAATCTACTGTCTGAAAGACCTCTGCTGGCACTTTGTCCATGTCTCCCTGAGTTTGAGGCCTGCTGGTTAATTTATGTGCTCAAGGGTTTGAGCTATAGGGAGAGGCTGAATAGGCTGGGGCTATTTTCCCTGGAGTGCTGGGGGCTGAGGGGTGACCTTATAGAGGTTTATAAAATCATGAGGGGCATGGATAGGGTGAACAGACAAGGTCTCTTCTCCAGGAGTGGGGGAGTCCAAAACTAGAGGGCATAAGTTTAAGGTGAGAGGGGAAAGATTTAAAAGGGATCTGAGGGGTAACGTTTTGTTGCAGAGTGTGGTATGTGCATGGAACGAGCTGCCAGAGGAAGTGTTGGAGGCTGGTACAATTACAACATTTAAAAGGCACCTGGGTGGGTATGTGAATAGGAAGGGTTTAGAGGGATACAGGCCAAATGTTGGCAAATGGGAAAAGATTAATTTAGGATATCTGGTCGGCATGGATGGGTTGGAGCAAAGGTTCTGTTTCCGTGCTGTACATCTCTATGACTCTAAGTAGACTAAGAAAGACATTTCTGTTGTACTATGGAGTGAGTACAGACATTTGATTTTATTCCATATATTTCCACGTATTTCTAAACTGCTTTAAATGAGCTTTCCTGGCTGAGTTAGGATTTTAATTGTGAATTTTGATGAGCAAAAGTATGTAGACGATTCCTTTGCAACCAACCTAAATTTCTTCTCATTCTGATTCTAAGTTGGGTTAATTTTTGTGTTTTATCATAATGTGGTAATAACTGATATCTGTTTTGAAGGCAAGTGTTGAGCTCAATGTAATGATTTAATGCATTTTCAACATTGCATTGACACACAATCTGTAGTTTGACATTTATGCGAAACAGCTGATCTCAGTCTAGTTTTATTTACAAGAAATGATAGGGAATGACCTTGAGGAGCCGGTCTCACAATGGTTTAGAATTTAGAACTGCAAAGCAAAATTTCTAAACAATAAATTTTGAAAACGTTTGAGCTATTTTGTTGACATCCATAAAGCTGTCAGAAACTAGATCTGTATTAGCAGCACGACTGAGGACATAGTGTAATTGAACCTGCTTTCTGACTGAATTCTTTCAAACCAAATTGTCTTTTTCTAAACAGAGACCAGAATTCCAGAATCATCGGTTCTGAGGAAGAGTCATTGAACCCAAAATGTTAACTGTGATTTCTGTCCACAGATGCTGCCGGACCTGTTGAGCCTTTCCAGTGATTTCTGTTTTTGTTTCTGGTTTCCAGCATCTGCAGTTCCTTCAGTTTTTTTATTAGAGACCAAATTACCTGTAGCAGAACAACCATTTGATAAAAGATGGCAAGGGAAATTGTGATTCCGGTCAATAATCTCTTTGACAATCAAGACTTCTTATTCCGATTTTATTTAGGTGTTAGTAAGACTATTGTAATTAAAATTTCTGAAGAGAGTTCCCTGGACTCGTAACATCAATTCTATTTCTGTCTCCACAGGTGCTGCTAAAGTTTCTCCAGCATTTTCTATTTTTGTTTGTATCATTAAAATTTCACTTTGTTAAAATGAATGATACCTTGAAGTGATATCTATCACTTGTTGTGAAAAGCTTGTCTTGTCCTATTTGCCCAGCGCTCACTAACCTACATTGGCACCTGATAATATCTTGATTTTAAACTGTTTATCTCTGTCCAACTTCCTCTATGTCTGGAGCCCTACCGCATGCTGAAACTTCCTTGGACTTTAGAATTCTCCCCCAAACCTCACGTCTCCAAGTCTTTGCCTTCACAGCAATTGAAAAGCAGCACATTGAACCACACCGTTTCTCCCCGTCGCTACTGAAACGCTAACTTGAAATTTAAACTCCAGTCCTAGCTTGGGGCTTGACATCACTATATTCCAACTCAATGATACTCCACTGAGTGGTATTGCACTACTGTCACTGTTAGTGGTTATATGCTGGGAGCATTGAATACCAGGCTGCACATATATCGGTTCGGTGTGGATATGTAGTTGTAACAGATTAATATTGAATTTCATTTTGCAGCCGATTATGTGTTATTAAGTATTATTTTTTGATAGTGATGAGGAGTGCTTAAAATGTTGACATTAGGTCATGGCTAAACTATAGAGGTATGAGAGATTTAATATTAGGCGTAAAGATGTAGCAACATAAATAGTGATCAGTGCCACCCTAGATTTGAATGGTAGAGGCTGCATGCAGGTATGGAGAGAAGGTGGTGTTTTTTTTTCTGTTCTCTACATGCTCTGAAACTAGAAATGAGTCTTAAGGATACCTTATTACGTGTCTAGAAATGCAGGCCTAATCCTTTCATCACTTACATGTGTGGACTGTGGCGTGAAGCTTGTGATTTCAAATAAACCAACTTTTCTCTGACAAAGGAGCAGTGCTCGGAAAGCTTGTGTTTTCAAATAAACCTGTTGGACTATAACCTGGTGTTGTGTGATTTCTGACCTTGTCCACCCCAGTCCAACACTGGTACCTCCGCACCATGATGGTAATGTCACTGGGCTAGTTGATAAAGGTCCTGGGTTCAAATCCCACCAGGGAATATGGTAAAACTGCAATTTATTTGACAAAGATCTAGGGCTGGATGTTATGTTTCCCCCTTCCCATGTGTGTTTTCAGTGAGTGGGCATTTAATATAGTCCAGGTGACTAATGGGTGCTGAAACTGGCAGCTTGCCCACTCTGTGTTTCTGCCAAAATGTAGTTTGGAGCAAATGAGCAGGACTCGGATTCCCGTTTTCAAAACAAAAATGATGGCTTATAAACCAGCAGGAAGGAAGGAATCCCCGACGAGCAGGTGCCTTTTGTGGATTGGGAGATCCTCCTGAAGACAACAACCATCCTTTCTCACTCACCTGCTCTGCAAAGCACCCGCCCCACACGACTCCCTCCTGCTCCCACTCGGTCCAAGATTTCCCAGTTCCCAATATATCTCACTCCTGGTTCCATGGGGCTTGCCTGCAGTACCAACTATGCCCACTAGTTTGCTCATGGATACTACCAGGACTTGTAGAGCAGAAAATCCCCAGAAGTCTTAGTACTGGTGCCATGAAAGTATCATTGACTGTTGTAAGAACCTATACATGTGACTCCTGACCACACTCATGTTGTTGACTTTTAAATACTCACTGAAACCAGCGAGTAAACCATTCCATTCATTAGGGATGGGCAACAAGTGTTGGTCTAAATCAGCAATGTTCACGTCCCATGAAAGAACAGAGAGAAAATAATCACCTTGGGTTGGTGAAGGGGGAGAAAATACCACGGAAAGGAGCACACAGTTTTAAAATATGGCCTTGCAGGTGTTTCTGTGTCAGTCCTGTCTCTCACCATCTCTGCTCCCAGCCAGTGGGTTTAAAGTGAGTGCAAACTGCACAGTTCAGTGATTGAAAGCCACAGGCACTGAGCTGCATCTCTTAGAGATGATACAATCGCTGCACAGTAGTTGATGAGTACAAAGTGTAGATAATGATATAGTTTGCCATATGTATGCATTAGTGCACATGACAGTAGTCTCTGTGTGGGTGCTGTGCCTTATCAAACATGCAATTTTTTTCAGACGTGGGCCAGACCAGGTGACAATGGCTGACTCTCCTCCCTAACTACCCTCTGAAATGGCCAAACAGGATGCACTAGAACCACTGCAGTTACCAGATACATCACCGCAGTTAAGATGGTAGCTCACCTCCACCTGCTCAAGGGCAATTAGGGGTTGACAACAAATTGCAAGTGATGCCCACATCTCATAAAGCATTTTTAAAAAGTATTAATTTACGATGTATTGTGGAATACGCATTGGCAAGCCAACTGCATTGCGTTATTTTGTTAACTGCAATGCAGAGTAACAGCCTTATAGTGAGAGATGGTGATGCTATTCGAACTTTAATGTTCAAGCATTGGACAGAAAGGATACTGAGAACACAGGAAAATGGAGACTCCTGACTGTGCAGATAGATAGCAGCTCTCTCAGTAAAACCTTGCTACAGTCATCGTAACTATAAAGTATCACCATTTGATTTCTAAACCTAAAACAGGGAACCCACATTTTTATATCTTGCTGTTGGTTACCTTTAATGGCTGAGAAAGGAGAGAAGGTTCATTTAGGGCAAACAGGTGGAAGCCACAATCCAGGGCAGAATGATCGAGCATTTTGAAATGAATAGGTTAATTGATGATAGCCTTGACACTTTTTAAAAAAAGAGGCAGGAGTTGTAATCGACATGGAGTTACAGAACGCAGTTGGTAAGAAACATCTCAGAATGGATTCCTTCTTAAAATTCAGGCATATTAAAGTAGAGGGAATATTACAACAAGGGTAGAAATTTATTTGACAGACAAGAAACAAAGTATTTGTTCAAATGAATGCAACCAGGCAAGGTCTGGAAATGATGTATCCCAGCTGTAAGAGAGCACAATAGTGGAATTAGTTCTGGATTGTTCTAACTAAGGGAAAATGAGTTGAGACTTTAAAGTTCTGTGGTTAGCCCAGATCTAACTAATTTTCAGTGTTGATTAATCCTAAAACTGGGAAATAATGTATTATTGTAGATAAATGATTTGTAGTTTTTATGCAATGGACATGCCTTTGGCACCACTTATGGAGGTCTAGTTAAGTAATTGCTCTCATAGTTTAATTCTGGATGATTTTCTCATATTAATTCTTCTTGTTTTCCGTCTTATTTGCAGAATTCTATTCGTCATAACCTTTCTTTAAATAAATGCTTCATGAAAGTGCCAAGGCAGAAAGATGAACCTGGTAAAGGGGGTTTCTGGCAAATTGATCCACAATACGCCGATATGTTTGTTAATGGTGTATTCAAAAGGAGACGGATGCCAGCAACACACTTTAGCGCCCTCAAACAAAGCAAACTCCCATCTGTAACCACATCTGAAGTCTCGATAAATCCGTCAACTGAACCTTTTCTGTCTTACTCTGGGCCTGGACATACTTCTGTGCGGTACATGGAAAATGCTCACAATAATCCGCTTTTCAACTCTTCAGATAACCAACGAACTGCAAGCAAACGCAAGCAAGCCTTGCCAAAGCGAACAATGAAGATGTCCAGAACTACCAAGTCTCCACTGCTGGCTCATGACGATAGAGAATCTGAATCACTCAAGGGAGACTTTGACTGGGCCTCAGTCTTTGATGATGTGTTCAATGCAAACGGGAGCAATTTTGAGGACCTAGACATCAATGCAGCTTTGAACTCTCTGGGTACAGAGCTGGATCTTACTGTGCAAGGAAGGCATATTAGCCCACAGTCTAAATGGTGCTCCATGGGGATGGACCAGGTTCTTGCGGAAACCACCAGCCAGGCTTCCCAGTTTGAAGATTTTACATTTTTCTCTGATGCGCAAAGGCATCCATGGGAGGAGATGAAGGAAGAATTCCAAATTACCCCTTTGGATATAGATCAAGGCTTCAACTTCTATGAAGGATTCTTCAATGAACTGCATCAATGGGAAAGAGGAGACAACTTTCTGTGACAAGACTACGTTCCCCTAATGATCAATCTTGAACCATTTGCTACATTAGCATTAACGCTCTTGATTATTGGAAATGTACAGCTTACATGAAGTTCCTTTATACTGTTGAAAAATGACCCGTTTGTTATTTTTTATCGTTTATAATTTTTACACTGGAATACCATTTAAGAGATTTCCGTCATGGTTGAAAGAAATCAGTCTGAAATTCTTAATAGTTTAAGATCATACCATCTGATTACATACCAGATTGTACCACCAGAGGTGCACAATACTGCAATGTTTCAAAGGGATGTGTTCTCAAAGCTATTTGCCATTTCAGATTCTTTCTTTGTTCAAAGCCGAAAATTGCTCACAATTGCACTTGACACTTTGGAAGACAATGTTGCTGAAGTGAAAATATGAAGCCAATAGTCAAGTCAAGCAAACGTACAATGAATGGAACTGTGATGGCACTATTTACATACAGTTAATTAGGAGCTAGCTAATTCTTAACTGAAATGGTTCTAAGAGCTTATCCTTGCTAGTTGATCCAAAAATTGTACATTGAAGTATATTGCACTTACTCCTAAAAATGACTAACCCTAACTTGTGTTAAAATCAACTTCTGTTAACTTCCAGTTGCAGTGTTTCGCCATATGAACTTGAATTAGAAATACAGGGCTAAACTAGAAGTCATTTCAAGTTAATTTTCTACATTTTTTTCTTGACTTGGCTATTGAATGAATGTTGAGCTTTGGTTCAATGGCTTCACAGAATCAACACACTTACAGGATGTAAGGCACAGTTTTGACCATATATTTTTCCATAAAAGACTTATTTTGCTCAGACGTACTAGTGTTAAAGGTGTAGTTTTTTTTTTCTTTTTGGAATTGATTTGGTGACTAACCTGAGTGAAGTTCTCAAAACAGAAGGGACGTGGGTAGGATTTGATTCAGTTATTGTTTGGAACTGCCCTTAATCATGACAAACTCAAGGTCTAAATGATTGAACACTAGAAAGGGCAAATGAACTTGCTGCATATCCTACAGTGACACAAGCATCTTGGGCTGCCTGCATTAGCATGGATCTTTTTAAAACAAAAATGTAATCAAGTCATCGTGATTCTATGCAGAATTCCTTTACTTATTGTGTTGGAACTGCTGCCTTAACAATGAAGTTATGGAGGGTTTCCATCCCGTGACTTTTGCAAAGAGCTGCTATGTAATTCAGAAGATGAAATGAACAACGTTTGCTGAACTGTGTAACTATGCCAATCTCTAATTCATGAATGCAGACTAGAGATAAACTCATCAATCTTTGAGCTGAATGGATAAGTAGTCACTGTTAGATGCTTGTTTTGTAACAGGGAAGTCGATGTGTTTGCTTGGGTCACTGTTAATTGACCAATGGAGCAAATCCCCCATGTGTGCAATCTCCCATTTTCTATTCTGGTTAAATGCTATTTGCCTCACCGCAATAAAAATTGTGGGGTTTAAAGCCCATTTTTCTAGAGTTTTATTTGAGTAAACAATAATTACCCATCATATTTCCAATTAGAAACAAATGCTGCTTTGTAATACCAGCTTTGTAATACCAGCATCATGAAGAAAATGAGTTACTTTGAGTAAGGTGGATAAAACTTTGATACACACCATAGCAGTATACATGAATATAATATGAACTATTATATGTAGGATGTAAATTTGAATCTGTTTGAAGTACATTACTAATTGAACCAGTCTGGATCCACTTTAGTTCTAGAACTGCCCACTCAATTAAGGGTTGTGGTGAGTGGGGGGGATAAATGGAGCTGAGTCCATGAAAAGATCAGCCATGATCTTATTGAATGGCAGAGCAGGCTCGATGGGCCAAGAGGCCTATTTCTGCTCCTATTTCTTATATTCTTATGAAAAACTCATAGAAATATCTACTAGCTAGGTCATTCACAGTTGGAGTTGTTGTTTTCAGTCATGAAATGTGGGAATTGCTGGCTAGGTCAGCATTTATTACCTATCACCAATTACCTTTGAGATGGTGGTAGCGAGGAGCCACCTTGAACACTGCAGTCCATGTGCTATAGGAACACTTATGACACTGATAGGGAGGGAGTTCAAAGATTTTGCCCCAGTGACACTGAAGGAGCAGTGATATGTTAGCGCTTGCATATGCTTTTGCGCAGTGGGTTTGTTCACCATCATGGGTGAGCGAAGAACGTTAGAAAGGACGATCTGGAATCATTATTTGTGGGGCGATTTTTAACCATGAGCAGTCGAAATGGATGTGAGTAAGGCTGATTGCATTTCGACTAAAATCGTCGATTGTTTCCTTTTAAATGGGGTCTGTTGTCGTGTGTAATCTCGAAGATTGGGTGGCAGTGGTGACTCGGTGGTTAGCACTGCTGTCTTACAACGCCAGGGACCTGGGTTTGATTCCACCCTCGGGCAACTGTCTGTGTGGAGTTTGCACATTCTCCCTCTGTCTGCGTGGGTTTCCTCCGGGTGCTCTGGTTTCCTCCCACAGTCCAGAGATGTGCAGGTTTGGTGGATTGGCCATGGGAAATACAGTGTTACAGGGTTGGGGTGGGTCAGTGTAGATTGTTGGGCTGAATGGTCTGCTTCCACACGGTAGGGATTCTGTGTATAATCCTGTCTGATTGGAAAATTATTTTGGGTTGCACCATCGGTGTCCAATTCTTGTTAGGCACCATTTGTAGTTTTTGAATAGATAGTGATTTGTGGAAACTTGAACTAATCCAGTGCATCCTCACATCTGGCCAAATGCAGAAAAATACTAGGAATCTTTCTTGAATGTCACCAGCAATGGTGTGTGGACTTAGCCAGACATTTCAAAAGAGCTTCTGATTCTTTTCAATCTAAATGTTGGATGCACTGGTGAGGATAATGTTGGGCTGGACATCACCCCCACTGTACAGTGGATAGGATTAAAGAATGGAACAGCTGTACAGTATTGTTAACTGTGAACACTGCACTGTATTTGACTTTCCCCTTGGAAATTGAGTCTCTGACATAAAGGAAATGACTTTGAGAGTGCCCAACTGTTTAAACCCAGACTTTGATCTGTTCGCAGCCAAATATTCAAAGTATCAGAGGGAGAATGCAGGAGTCATACAAATTCGGTCTTTCGTTAGGGAACGTAGAGTGTCTGTGTGAGTGTACTGCATCAATGTGAGTTACAGCCTCTGTGAAAGGCAACCTTTGATCAATCAGAGACAAAGCATTTCTGAGAGCAAGTGTATCACCATTATGGTGAAGTCAGTAAATGGCAGAGAACACGAAAGCAAACTGGGGACTTCACATTTCTGTGGAATTCACTACCACACTGAATTGGAGGTGGTCTTTATGATGTGGCATCATCAATTGAACCATTTGGGATATAAACCTTGTCATTTTGTTCCCACAATTTTAGAGGTCATCAGAGCGGAGAAGTTCTCAAACTCCTACTTGCCTACACTATGAACTAACCTTTCTCCTGTGACTTAAACACATGCGCAATTATATTTTCTTTAATATTGGAGAAAATGTCATTGTTTGCAACAAAGATAATGATATCCTAAAGCTAACAACAGTGTAAACGACTGAACTCAAAACATTTTCCACGGACACCTTTTTAGAAAAGCCTATTTCTAGATTTCCAATAGGTTAATTAGGATCTATTTTACCAAATAAAGTGGCATGCTTCAAAGTTTGTATGTATTGTATATTAATTAAATTATCGTCTTTGGATGCAGACTAGCCTATAACCAATTGGATGGGAAAGGAGTTGAATAAATAAAAAAAGGCTGATTCTTTTTTTGAATGTGATTGTTCTTTTAAATATTACAATGATTTCCTTCTATAGTTATTAGATTGAAAGTAATGAAAGAAACTTGTGCTGAATTGAATTATAAGGGCTGTAATGAAATGCAAAAAAGGAAGCAGTCGGTTAGAAATTTGTAGGCAAAAGTTATTGGAGCAAATCTAACCAATTCAAAGAACAAATACATTTTAATTAGGCAGCTACTTACTGGTAGGTCTTTGGTGTTTTGCTAATTTGCTGTATTGTTCAGTTCATAATTTAATTAAGCTCAGTATCAGGGAAGAGAAGGTTAGTTTGATTAGTTGTAATAATAGAAATAAAAGGATGAGAGATTTCTCATTTTGATGTAATTTCAACTCTAAACTGTAAAAGCTTGCTGTTGGAAATGTTGGATTGGCCTTAAGCGTTTGCTCAGTTGCGATAACTTTGGTTGTACCGAGAAGTGGGATAAGATAGACCTTATGACCATAACAGTTACTTCATGAGGAGTGAAGTGAGGGCTTTGGAGATTGTGGCTTCTTGGCGAGAACACCCACTGAGTCTCTTTTTCCTCAGTGAGAAACACACTATCCTTATAGATACAATCCCCCTTTTATTTGCCAGAGTTTGCTGTGCACCAAGAAACCTGACTAATGTTGGCATACAACAGTAATAATGGTCACGTTGGAAACACAGCCTTTTCAGTTTCCAGTGTCTTCAGCCTTTTCTTAGTACCATATCGAGTGAATCAAATTTATTGAAGACTGGCATCTGTGATACTGGAGACCCCAGGAGGAGGCTGAGATGGATCATCCACTTGGCATATCTTGCTGATTGTGGTTGAAAATGCTTCAGTCTTTTGCACTGACACGTTGGGCTCTTCCATCATTGAGGATGGGGATATTTGTGGAGCCTCCTCCTCCAGTGAGTTGTTTAATTGTCCACCACCATTCACAACTGAATGTGGCAGGACTACAGAGCTTAGATCTGATCTATAGGTTGTGGAATCACTTAGCTCTGTCTATCACTTGCTGTTTCTACTGTTTGAGAGGCAGATAATCTGGTTTGGTGGCTTCACTAGGTTAGCACCTCCTTTCTAGGTACGTTTGATGCTGCTCCTGGCATGCCCTCTTGCACTCTTCATTGAATCAGGATGTGGAGGTGCTGGTGTTGGACTGGGGTGGGATAAAGTCAGAAGTCACACGACACCAGGTTATAGTCCAACTGGTCTATTCGAAATCGGGTGCTGAAGATGTTACGCTCCAAAAGCTTGTGGTTTCAAATAAACCTGTTGGACTATGATCTGGTGTCGTGTGACTTCTGATTTTATCCATTGAGCACGGCTAGATCTGTCAGCCTGTTTGGAATTTTACAATAACGCAACCAGAGGGGGCAGTTAGGGCTATATATATAGGGGCAATAGTGTCACGATACTCCCCTATGATTTGAAATTAGCATTGTTCCGTGCACAAGTTCTGAACTCCTGAGACCACTCACTGTCCTCCATAATTGGGTGAGGCTCCCAGAGGCACTACTCTCTCGAAAATTTTGCTTGGCATCCTGCCATTGGTATTTGCCAAGTTTCTAGCCCCCATTTCCCAGGGGATAAGGAGCAAAATGTCATTACCTTACCCTTCACATGAGGAAAATAGGATTTCCCGGCCCAGGCAGTGCCAACCTTACCTCTATCATTTCTTTTCCTCTGATTTCCTATTGGTGTATCCAAGTCCCATTGTTCACTGTATCTTTCTGGTACCGGAGTTGCTGCAGCAACCATTGAGTAACTTGGGCTGTATATCCAAGCAATAAACCTAATGTATCAGTTGGTGATCAGCTACAGGACCGCATGGTGGCTCAGTGGTTAGCACTACTGCCTCACACAGGGACTTGTGTTCAGTTCCACCCTTGGGTGACTGTCTGTATGAAGTTTGCACATTCTCCCTGTGTCTGTGTGGGTGCCCTCCAGGTGCTCTGGTTTTATCTTACAGTCAAAAGGTATGCAGGTTAGATGGATTGGTCATACTAAAAAAATTGCCCATAAAAATTGCAGGCAAAGTGGATTAGCCATGGGACATACAGGGGTATGGGGCTGGGTCTTTTTTCTTATTCATTCATTCACGGGATGAGGGCGTCACTGGCTGGGGCAGCATTTATTGCTCATCCCTAATTGGTCAGAGGGCAGTTAAGAGTCAACCACATTGCTGTTGGTCTGGAGTCACAAGTAGGCCAGACAGGTAAGGATGGCAGTTTCCTTCCCTAAAGGACATTAATGAGCTGGATGCATTTTTGTGACAATTGACAATGGAGCCACAGTCATCATCAGACTCTTAAATTCACTGTGGGTGCTTCCACACTGTAGGGATTCTACTCTATGACACAACTCATAAACTTTCCAGATGATGGTTTTATCACATATTCTGTATGCATATGTATCGTTAGCTGCATTGGGGATTGGGACGGGACACCATTCTAGTGCAAACTAGTTACACATGTTAACTATTAAACAGTATACAGTTCGGCATGTAGTGTCAGTCCCACGTTACCTAATATCACTATGAGAGACCTTGCGCACATGCTCATCCTCAAAGATGCATGTACCAGACACCCGCAAAGTGGGCAGAGCACAATCGGGGTCAATTTTGCATGTTCATTGGTCAACCTGATAGTTGGAGGGAGGACCACTGGCCCTCAACACCCCACCTCCATC